TAACCTCTTCCAACTTGCTGTCCTCTTCAAGTTAGTTCAACACCTCCTCCCACACTTTCAAAAATTATATATGTAATCCACAGGTAATGACTGAAAACACAAATATTTGTATGCATGTGCACTGCAACTAATTATTAATTAAAACTATTTCTATAATATAGAAATCGTATGGTACAGATTTCTTAAAACATCTGTAATAATGAGCTTACAAAATACGTAAGCTATTTGCCACAGCATATATTGATAGAAAATGCTACTTTGGTGTACTGAATAGTACAATAAATACATATTTGTGGGTATGGTTTTAGTATACACCAAAAAGCCATTACATTATGATCTATCTATAATGGTGGGCTTGCGCAGGAACAAAACAACTGTGTTCCAAACATAGGGCGATTAGCAACATAATGGGAAAAGCAGCTGATTTATCAGACTTCGATAAAGGTCAAATCGTTATGGCTTAGAGACTGGGAGCATCAGTATCAGCGCATTTAGTGGGCTGTTCACGTGTTGTGAATACTTATCAAAAGTGCTGTATGGTTGGTGAAACAACAAGTTGTTGGTCAGCTGTGTGTTGTCGACAGCAAATGAAACCCTGGCTCCCAGATGTATAGTTAGACAGACACAAGCCAGTGTTGGGGTTATTATGGTGTAGGCAATGTTTTCATATACTACATTAGGACCCATAATCCCCAAAGAACAATCCCTGACATCTGTGTACTACGTGAACATCGTTGCAGACCACGTTCACCCATTGATGGCAACAGTATTTCCGGCAGTGGATGGCGTTTACAAGCCAATTTTCTGCAGTTTAAAAAAAAAAGGGGGGGCAAAACAGATCACTGTGAATTGGAACTTCCAGTATCATGTCTTGCCTCCAACTTCACCTGACATTAATCCAATACACCTAGAAAACCAAATTCAAGCTGCCGCGCTACCCCCTCGCAATGTGCGGCAATTGCAGGACCAGTTGGTGAGCACTTGGTAACAGATACCTCAGACTACCTATCAGCAACTTATGGAGTCAATGCCACACTGGGTGCTGGCAGTTTGAGGGCTAAAGGTGGTGCTGCATATTATTAACACAGTGGTCATAAAGTAATGGCCCTTCAGTATGTATTAGTAATAGTTTGTAAGCTTTGAATATATGGAATAGAAAATTCATACTGCAGGCAACCTGGACCAATTTTTATGAACGGCTAAACCAGCATAATTTAGTAAAATTCTTATAAAAATGCACATCTAATAATTGTATAATGAAATAAATATTTAATTAAAAAATGTTTATAAAACTAATTTCCAAGCATGCTCTTACTGTCCACCTACTTTTCAATGCTTCCTTACTATTGCTTGGATCAATTTAGCCCAACCTAGATTCATTCAGCATTCATGCTGGGAAAATGTTTTACGTGAAAGATTATTCAACAAAATCTCTTACAAGCAATGCTTTTGTACCAGAATTGAATCCAGATCTTAAATCCAAAAATTCACTAGTGTACAGTTTTACTTACTTCTTCACAGCCGCTAAGTTTAAATCATCAAATCACCGCCCCACAGACTTTGCACTTCTGCTTTCTCAGGCTAAAAAATACAGAAGGGCAAAGTCAGGCCTATAAGATATAGATAAGAGGCAACCGTCCAATCCAGTTTGCCTACTGTGAGTTGTTACAAAAGATGCATAAGGAACTACATTATCATTGTGATGAAGACAAGTTCAGATTCCTGGTTGGCCTCTTTTTTTTAAAGGCTTCTAGAAACTTTTGAAGTGAATAAATGTACTGTTTGCTACTTATAGTACTGTCCTAATATAATAATAATATTTAAAAAAAAGAGCTCTTCATCTCAAATTAGTCACTATTACCTTTTATGCTAATTGCTGGCTCTCAAACAAAAAACACGAGTTGACACCATCAACCGTTAAATAAAAACATAAAAACTAATGAGAGGTAATGTCATTTTTTGAGTTGATTCTTTATCTCTAGGTTATAAAATTACACTCGTGTTGTATTTCATATCCATTATTTACTTGAAATGAAGAAAATTCTTTACTGCGTGTTGATATAGAAAAATAATCACTAATAATATGCAGAATTTAGACCAGTGTTTGCCAACCTTCTTTGTGCTATGCCTCACCTAACCTCTCTAAAAATTCTTATGCTCCCTCTAATATATACATAAATTTTAACATTCAAGAATTGAAATGTTCGCGAAAGAAACTTGAATGATAGGTTTTAGGAAGAAATCACCAGGAAATTTTGTGAGCAAACACAGTAAATAAACTTTAAAAACATAAAATAGAGAACTGAAATTAAAGTACAAAATAATTTTACTGAAAGTTTTTTCTATATCATTTTAAGTATTTGTAATTATTTATCATTTAAACTTAGTGAGATCCTTGCTGCAAAGAGATTTTATATCAGGTTCCAATTTACTTAACTTCAGTCTCAAGTCTCCCTGTTTTATTATATCCAGCAAAAAAAAAAAAAAAAAAAAAAAAAAAAAAATTAAAGCAGTAAATCATTTATGACACTAAATCTACCTTCAGCTATATATGAAGATGGAAACGATATCAATAGTTCTGCTGCACATTTGGTTGCATTTAGATATCTGATTTGGGTTTCCTCACAAAACAATGCCATCCCTCATTTCATATTAAATAAAGTATTAATTGACTGATCATTTTACATTTCTGCGAGTTCTACTTGATACTGCATATTTGAAATATCAGTCAAATCCACTAACATTGGCTGCATCATACAAGTTGGGAAATTTGTTTCAAATAAGATTTTCTTTTAAATCAGCTGATAAAATTTTCAGATAATTAACAATAACATGTACAGCAGTATCAATGACTTCACATTTTTGGAGTCAATGAAACTTTTTGGCATATATTTACAACAAAATTTTTGTTGTAAATATTTACCTGACATAATTCAACAAAGGAAATGAAACCAAACATCTTTGCTTTTCCATCAACAACAAATTTATTTGCTCCTTGAAATTGTTTACTTAATATTTTTCAAAGATATTAGCTAAATAACTCACGAATGCCTTACCATACCCGTTAAATTTTTCACTTCATGTTTGTTGCTTAAAAAATAACTAAGACTATTAAACAGTTCCATAAATCTTCTCAAGCAGTTCCCTTTCAAGAGCCATCTTCCTTCAGTGTGAAGTATAGGTTTCATATGGTCTTCATTTTGTTCTTTGCCAAATAACTTGACGTGACATTTGGCATTACCTTTAATAGCACTCATATACTTTATAACTGAATTTAGCACTTCATTTAGAAAAGAAAAAATATTTCTAGCTATTTTCTCTATGAATAACACAATGCATAAGAAGCAATTTGGATTCTTATCTTTCATCAAATTTAAGCAACCCTTTTTCTTTCTCATCATATTAGAAGCACAAGATGTGATATTTTTCATTGGTATATTTTTCACATCTAAGTAACAAGTTTAGCTTTCTATAAATATCTTTGGAGGTAGTGCTGCTTTCTACTGATTTACAGAACAATATTTCTTCAGCAAAATCACCTTTATTCAAACAACAAACAAAAACAACAAAAATCAGCATATTTTCAAATTTGAAAATATAACACTTGTTTGGCATGTTATTATTGTATCTTAATAAAATCACCTTTATTAATGTATCTTACGTAAGTTATATAAGTACAGCCTTGCTGTCTCTCAAAGTTGATTCATCCATTTGGTTGATTTAATTAAGTTGATTCAATATCCTCACTCATTTTATCTGTTCTGCTAATAGTATTGCTGCTTAGTGGCATAGCTTTAATATCTTTGTCGTCTTTTTCTAGAACTGTTTTAAGAAATGCTGATATTGATGGTTGAATAAATTCTTCCCTATAAGTATGACTGCTTCCAGATTTACCAATGAGTAATTAAATTTGATAACTAGCCTCAAGAGTATGATTAACAGTTACATTATGAGCAGTAAATACAGACTTTAATCTTATTCCTTTTTCAAAATTTTTCTTTAAAGTTTGAAAATAATACAAATCTGAATTAATATGAGCATTATATTTTGCCTTCAGATGTGCCTCAAGATGATCTCATTTCATTGATCTATTGGTCAAGCGTTGTTCACATAAAAGACAAAAAGGCGTCTTTTATGAAACCAAATTTTAAATATTCCTCTGAATACTGACAACTTATTTCTTGCTTGCACTACTCATTACAGTAATGGCTGAAAGAAATAAATATAAGATCAATTAAAAACTTCATCGCACCACTAAATATAAACAAAGCTGAAAACATCTGCTGTTACCACTCAAAGGAAGAAGAATATACCTGTTGCCGTTCCTACAGTAAAAAATAAATTGGATTAGTTGGGTGACCTGCGTCTGGAAAGTGTAATGTGTCAGCTATTTAAATGCCCTTTAAAGGCATTTAAATTTCCCTGTCTACAGCAAAAAGTCTTTATAAAAGATTTTAAATGCACCGCAATTAATTTTTTTTTTTTTTTTTTTTTTTTTTTTTTTTTTTACATACACATTTAGGGAATATAAAATAAAATTTAGAAAATTTTAGACTTGTTTAAGAAAATTTGGAAATTTGAACATCCCTTGTCCCCTTAAACTTTAGATGAGTCTATTTTCGTATTGCAACAGGTTAGGAAACATTGGTTAAGGCAATCTAAATATAAATCTATATATTTAGATTGCCAATCAGAATATAAAGGAAGTTAAACTGACTTTTACATCACTTTAGCATGACCCCTGTATTAAAATACCAAATAAATACATTTATATCCAACAAGAATACAGGGCAACAACCAACTATTAAAAAATTTGATTAAAAAAAAAGGATTAATAGACTATTATATAAACAAATATATATATATATATATATAAATGAGAGAGTTTTATAGAAAATTACACAACTTCCTTTATACAACACGAAAAATATTTCCAGAAACACAGTAAAAGAGAAAATTAATGCAATTTTCCGCTTACAAAAGTCACTAATATTACATACCTATAGGACCTCGACAACTAGGGCAGCAAGTTAGCTTAAGACGGCATGAGGCACACACTAGATGTCCGTTCTGACATTGTAATATAGGTGGTAAAACATAATCAAAGCACACTGGGCACTCAAAGAGACTTGCTAAGTCTGCAGTAGTAGGATTAGATGTACTGGATATGCCAGCATGGTTTGAAACTGCATTGTGAGCTCCAGCTATCATAATAAACAATGAATTTTTATTAGCAGAATGACTTTTCATATGAAGTGAAAAATGCATATACATGCCATTAGAAAAACATTTAAAAGTCAACAGATTATTATAATACACTTCAAATATCATTACCTAATAAAAAATAATAACATTTAACTTACAAAAAAAGGAAAGGAATGAAAACTTGAACTACATAATTTATTATCACAATAAACAAACAGTCTACAACTGCAGATTAACAAGAATACAATATTTTTAAAAAGTAAAAATATGTACATTTTTTCTCTTATATGAAAAGCTAAAATCAAAATATTACCTATATTATATTTTGTATCAATAGATGTTGATGATACATGATTAGGGCCAGTTTGACAAGCTGCAGTTAGATGACTCCTAGGTTTTGGAGTATGCTTTTTTTCCATTCGGAGAAATGAAGTTCAACAAATATACAGTCAGCTAGTTTAACAACCATGCACCTTCAGGGAAATTTTAAAAAGTTAAAAAAGATTATGTTACAAACAGAATGAAAAACAGCAAAAAATTTCAAAAAGTAAAATTTTTCTGTTATGTAGTTAACCAACAATAATAATACATACATGATTTATCTGGTTCAATAAGGCTCTAATATGATAAAGCAATTATTAAGTATTCCTCTAAAACTTATACTTCTCAATAATTTACATTAGACGTGAAACACAAATAAACACACACATATATATATAATTCTTAAATATATATATAATTTATACATAGATATTCCAAGATAAAAGAGATTATACAGAGATTTAGAAGAAATTTTATGAAAAACTACATTATATATAGTCCATTGATTGGTAAAAGTATAGTTTAGGGTACCCCTTGGCGAAACTTGGTGATTTTTGGCGGTACATAGATACCGATTTTGTGCAATTCTTTGACTCGTTATTTTTGGCTTGTGAAGCGGCGATTTTTGCCCCAAAAATCACCGCTACACAAAACCAAAATAACAAGACAAACAATTGCACAAACTCAGTATCCATGTACACATCAACTTATTTTCACTTAAAAAAAAATCCTCGAATTGCACAAAAATGGCATTGTGCACTCCTTTGACTTTATCCATGTACACATCGACCTATTTTTCACTTACAGATGTCAAAGGAGCACCAAATTCTACAATATAGGCAAACAAAAATACATAATATCAATAAAATACATTTTAAACCAAACAATAAAATAACATAAAAAAGGAAAAACATGTTATACATTTAAGCACTACCAAAAGCAAATATTCCCTTACCATGATTTTCGAATTCGCTTCGTACACCCAGATCCACGTAAAAATCAAAATATCAATCATACTCAAATGACTTTTTCAAACCAGGTACTCTTTCTGATCGAATGCTTCACATAGTGACCATCTGAACCTTTCTTCCTACAAACCCATTCAAATCCATCTAAACAGTTTTTACGTTCGACTAGATGCATATCCTTCCTACATACAGGACACTTATAACGGCTACTAAGTAAACCTTCATTTACACACCAGTCAATTAAAGCTCTTTTCCCCTTTCGCTCCAAATCGTACAGAAACTCCAAGTTAATCTTACTACACTCGGCCATTCTACCGTCTAAAGAATCAAACTAACACACACGACAAAAACGCTTACAACACATCCCATTATTCAAAATTTCCCAGAATCATGGACTCGATTACGTCACAATAGGGTTTCCATCACATTGAACTACTCAGGCTACCACAAATGAAACAACAACTTGGTCATAATACAAGGGGTACCTTAAAGTCTACTCTATCCGTTCAAGCTTATTAATATAACAAGACATCTTTGTAAACAAAATTACCAATAAAAATATCAATAGGACTTAATTTGCAATTTCATATAATATGATGGAAAGAAATCATTTTAATATTTCGAACATATTTCTTAAACTGTATTCTAAAAGCAAAAGTGAGCAAAGCAATAATGATAAGCAGAGGGGAAAACTCTGAAAGCATTCAGATTTTAATAATTGCTCAAAAGCGTTCTTTTTAAAGTTATATAAAGTTGGTTTATCAGTAAAGATTACCAATAGAGATGGCCAAGGCGGAATAGTGAAATATGTTACAGAAAATATGCATTTATACTAATGTGGGATCATTATATACTTTCTACATATTAACAAAGTAAAAAATATGTAACATAATTCTGTAAAAATATTTAATTTTTTAATTATATATATTATGCATTAAATGCATTTTTATTTAAATCAATAAGATTAAGATGTAAAACAATATTCTTAAGAACGGCATCTACTGCTTTTAAATAGTTTAATTTGTTAATTAATAATATATTAAATATGCAAAAATAATATTTTACATTTTTCCAATGGCAACAGACATGAATGAAAAGTGAAACAATGCAAAATTGCATTTCCAGAATAACTGCCCTCTTCTGGGCTAAATAAACTCATTTTATTATTATAATAGAAGCAAGTCCGAGTTTCCTAGTCATCACTATCAGCTGCCACGCTGCTCTATTTCATGTATTTACTTACCTTCTGTAACTATATTAGGTATCCAAAAATTACATTCTTTACGGCTGGATTGTAATAATCAACAATGAAAAGTTTAAAATTAGATTTTAGCACATTTTATACAAAGCAAAAAACGTAAAACCATAAATTAATTTCTTTACATGAAATTTTTTCTGTACATTTTCAGTAAAATTCTGAATGCTACAAAGAATAATATTTAAGAATATTAGCTACTTTTAAAAACAGTAGCAGAAAAAATTGAAGGAAAACTATCAAAAGATGCAATATGTTACTTCTATCACAACTCTTAACTTGGGTGAATTAACTGAACTAGCTCAATTACAGTCAAAATAAGGTACTATGTAGATTTTGTAAGGTAAATTATCACCACAAGAACTTCTAATTCTAAAACAGATGGATAAAAAATAACTTTAAATTTATTCTACCTTACCACATTAAAAGGTACAATAAACAATTACTAGTCACTTGGGTCTAGGTTACAAACCAGCTTTTTTTTACCTGTTACAAATTCAAACAATTTAATCTTATCAGAGGATATAAGCTTCATTGAGACTGCGACAGAAATTCAAATGCAAATTGCACCAACACAAAGTTATCCATTCACTATACTATTTAATTCACCACTCAAGACTGAATTCAACAGAATTCAGACCAAGCCAACAAATAGCAAAACTTTATACAGCAAGGCAGCTAGGGCTAGAAGGCTAAAACTATTCAAAAACAGATCTATTAATAATTATTCTAACTTCCGAGTAAAACTTTGTCACTTTAATTTTAGAATATGTTCACCCATAGCGAAATGAGGTAGAAAAGAAAGCTATAAATTAAATAACATTTCATTAATAAAACCTAAATACCACACTATTATGCAAAGTCCAGTGAAAAATGGGTGGCTGGTCATCAACATTATCATGTAATTCAATGGGATTTGCCCATGCTACACATAAATATGCAAATTTTCACACCCGTTCTTTCAGCACATTATGGAAAGTGCAAGGGGTGTTTTAAATTCTATTTCAAAGACTGTAAATACTTGGATTAAATTTTCACGTGTGGAAGGTAGAACATTGTTGAGAACCATTTGCAGACTGTCGGAAATGATGTGCAATGGGGAGAATGGAAGTATGACAAACACCGACACATGTGTGTAAAGACCTAAAAGTAGCGAAAAGCATCGTGTAAAAAATCTGAAAACATATTAAAGACACAGGTAATATATTAGGATGATTGGGTTAAGGTTGAAAATGTGCCACAAAAATCTTTCAGAACCATTATTTAGCAATGACTGCTAAAATAAATAGGGAACTGATAATCGGCCCTAATCGCAAGGGAGTTTGCAGCAGTTACAGGAACATGACTATCCTCCTTGGAATATCTTAAATGAGAAGCTTCATAAAAAAGGGCTGTATGTGAAATTCACAATTTGTTCTCCACTAACTTGGGCTGAAGAACGTGCACAAATCATTGTGGCTGAAGTACCACGGAAAAAGTTCTTTTTACTGAGGTGTCTTGCTTTTGTTTGGAGAGCAATTCCAAATGTTTACAATCTGGACTGAGTAAAATCCATGCAATAAGCCTCATAACACTAGTGAAGGGCATCTGTACAATACTGATTGAATCATGTTATGTGTGGGTATTATTTGGAATGGCCGCATGGACCTACACATTTTTACCAGTACATGAGGTTCTTGATCCTCATGTCAAGTTGCTTAGGGGTGCAACTGGAATATCTCCTAATGAACAATAATGCTCATCCCCATCTCAACGTACTAGAATCTAACAGATGTAATGGCCTAAATATTTTCTAGATTCAACTCCGATGGAACACATGTTAGACACACTAGGACCTAACATGCATCATTGCAGCTCTTCATCACATGCCCTTTTAACTACAGCATTTCCTAAGCAATCTAATACACAGCATGGAAAATTACTGTAAAGCGTCCATTTTGGTCAGGATTAAATTTTTATTTTGCCTTATTAAATTTTTCATTTATATATTATTGCAATCCCCTTAGCACAATTTAATGAATTTTACAGAAGAAAAAGAACAATTATTTTCATTGTAAAAAATTATATATTACATACATATATATTACATTTATAATCTATGATTCAAACATATATTTATTCGAAAAGGCAATAAGTAAACAGAGTTAAAACAGGTTCCTGCATTTGCTGAGGTGGAAATTTTGTACCAAGAGAATGAATTTGAAGCATTGTTTGTTTCAGGACTTTGCAACAAAATAATGCATTCCTGCAGAAATTTCACCGCTCTTTCTTGTATTATAGGAAAATCCTACAAGCACAAATTTTAAACTAAGATTTTAAGACAAAAGATAATCAATTTTTCTTTAAAAACTATTGGAACTTGGAATACAGCAAAGAGAATGCATATGAAAATGGTGGCATTGGAACCTGAAGTTTGTCATGTGCATTAGTTGCCTGAATGACCGTTACACACATGTTTAGCATAGTTTGGTATATTCTGAAGCTTTGGGCTATTTCTACTATGGTAGTTGCGATAATACATAAGTACCATTTTTTCTATATCTAAAAAACTGTTAACACCAAATTTTCCCTATTCCACTTCATATCACATTTCCTATGTTTTTATTTAAATTTATTTTTTGCAGAAATAAGCAATTTTAGGTCAGGCATAACAAAAAAAAAAAAAAAAAAAAAAAACCTCTTGTGCTAATTCCTTTAAATTACCTAAGCTTTTACAGTTGTTCCTTTGATATCTTCAAACAGACAACAAAGTGTTTAGCTTAATATTTTTATTACAACAAAATACAATTTAAAAAATTGCCTTGCTAAATCAACAAAAAAACAAACTATTTTTTGAAATTTTTCTAGTACCTCTTGACATTTTTTACACTAGAAAGACAGGATCCTCCAGCTAAAGTCTAAAGCCTCCCATTTGATGTGCTAAATTATA